ACACGTAAAGGCTGTGAGGTATAGTGATTTTTTAGGTTCACAAGGCAGGAATTTGGATTCTGTCCCATCAGATTTCTGCGAGAGAGCAAGTGCCTATGTCAACAGAGCTTTATTGGGCCCCTTCTGGAGCCTGGCCCGTGTCCTTCACAGAGCCAGGGCCCCACTCTCACGCTTGAAGGGTGTCAGAGTCCGGCGTGGGCTCTGGGCAGGTTTTATTCTTTGCTTCTCTACCACTAGAAGCTGGCTAAGACAGAGAAACGTTGAACGAGTGTAGTTCAAATTACAGGATATTTATGAACAGCCGTCACATTCATTCTGTAGACAGTATGTACATGGTTACCTGCACGCCAGGCCCTGTTTTAGGCTCTGGCAACACAACAGGGCACGAAACAAAAATCCGTGCCCTCGTGGGTAGTGTGGAGAGGGAAGACAGCAAAACACACAGAAGGACGGTGTGTGCAGGGTGTGAGGTGAGGGTCCGCAGAGCAGGGAAGGCGCACGGGCACACGTGCACAGGCCGTCTTCCGGGCCCCCTCCCGGCTGAGCGCAGTGTTCAGACGCGCCACCGGCTCTTCAGAGGGCAAGTATCTTAGCTTTCTGAAAAGGATCTTGCAGCACATTTTCCAGATTTAAAAAAAAAAAAAAAAAAAAAGTTGAGTCCAGGTGGTTAAGTGATTCGCCAAAGGTCATGTGACTCACTGGTGGGGGAATCTGACAGGAACCAGGTCTGAAGACCGTCCCTTTTTAAAGCCCCCCTTGTTGGGACATCGGCTCTTAACCTTGGTGCCTTTACGCTATGGAATGGTCTCACCTTTCATGGCTCTGTGAGCTTTTCTTCAAAATTATATAGGTCTTCTGCAGAAGCAGCGAAACCAGGAAGGACAGAGACCTGAGATGTACTCGTATAAGTCTTCCTAGGAATCCACATGCCTCAACGTGTTAAAATTCTAGCACATCTAGTTGTTAAATCTTCTCCCCTAAGTCTGGCTTGTGTTTTGCATTTCGTTTTCCGTGTTAACCTATATTGTGATCACCACTGTGAAGAATGTGGAGTAGAAACCAGAAAGTGACAGAGGGAAGCAGGTGATTGTGTTGCTGGCCTTGTCATTGTTTCCTCTCTTGAATGTGATCCCTCTCTCTAACGCCAATGACATTTTACTATTTTTCAGAGAGAAGCTAAAAATGAAAGAACGAGAAGAAGCGTGGGTTAAAATAGAAAATCTAGCCAAAGCAAACCCCCAGGTACTAAAAAGAGTAACGTGAAAACGTCTAGGGTATCTCTTGAATGTTTTTTTGAGCTAGGAATGTGGCTGCATCACGGGCAGGGAGGGGGTCGGCTTCACTAACCTTGTATGTGGAAACGTCTGCAATAAAAATACTTCTCAACTTTCGTACAAGTAACTTATTTTGCCCCACCAAGTTTTTACCACAGAATTGACCTTTTTTTCCTCTGTTTTTTCAATAAGATCTAAATCTTAACCAATGTACTGTGGTAAAAAGAAAGCCAGGATACAACGTCTATCTTGGGCCAAGATCAGGATTTGCTTTCTCCTCACCAACGTCATAGATGCTGTAGCTCAAACGATACGTCCCTTTCTTTTTAATATCAAAGTCCAAAAGAAAGGAACATAGATTTGAAATCGATGAAGTGTGATGTCCGTGTCCTCTTTTCCTAAAACTAGGTTCCTATACGCTGAGCCTTTTAATCGTTAAAAATTGCCTGACGTCTGCGTGTTAGCAACTAACCCTCTCTCCCGTCCTCGCTAGAAGGTTCCAGCGCGCTCTGGCAGGTGCGCGCACGCGGCATGTCTCCCGGAGCAGGCGATGCGGTGGCCCGCACGGCGCCCGCCCTGGGGCTCCGAGGGCGGCTGGGGGTTCTGGGTTGTGTGGTCTTTGGTGTTACGCACGCTGGTCTGGGTGACTGGAGCACTGCCTCTACGGGCGGGCCCCCTGGTCACCACGGGGCCGCTCTCCTGAAGATCGTCTGTGCGCCTCTCCACCACAGTAACAGCCCGCTGGCGGTCCTCAGGCTCCCAGAAAAGCTTGTACCTGACAAGAACCCCTCGGTATCCTCAAAATCCCAAAAGGCTCTTTGAGGTGAAGCTAGGTTCCAAGCCATGTGTTTCCTTGGGCCAGAGGCGGGCGTAAATCATTCACTAAGTCGGTTGTGCGGGATTCGTGGCTCTCTGACATCTCCTAAAAAACAGCACGTGATCACGAAGCTAAAAGTGTGTGTTGATGTAATGTATCAATCGTGTTCCCTTTGATAAAACCGCATTCGAGAGACTTACACCTCAGGAAAGCGGAATGACGTTAAGTGAGGCCTTCCTTCCGCCCTGGAACTACCCCCACGGCCCTTCCCTGACACGACCGATTCTGTGCTCTGCCACAGAACTGCTCTGTCCACCTGCTGGAACAGAAGGGATGTTGAACGTGAGGCTGGAATACTGACGTTTGTTCCACAACACCGTGAAAGCCCAGATCCGGGGCAGGTGGAGGTGGAGGTGGAGGTGGAGGGGCCCTGCCTGACGGCCCCGTGCAAAGGGCAGCCAGCCGGGCGTCCCGGCCAGGATCGCCAGACACCCCACCACACACGCACCCAACACCCTCACCTGAAACCAGCCAGAAAGGCTGATTTTTAGCTGTGTCGCCTGGAACGTAGAAACAACCTCATGGGAAACCGCATCAGGCTTTCACGTTACAAACGAAAGAGCGGGTTGGCTGTGTAGCAAACGTGGCCTCGTTTCGCCGCTGTGCTCTCTTCCCTTTTGCTGAGCTGCTCCTGCGTTTTCTTACGTGACACGTTTCCTCCTCTGGGCCGCTCTCTGCTGTGTCCCAGGCAGGCGACGCTGTAAGCGCCCTGGGCTGCACCTGCGGGGAATGTGGCGTTCTGGGCGCCGTGTTGACCGTCTCCCCGTTGAAACCGCGTGTGACCCGAGCCCCGCGAGTCCTGCCTGCATGCAGCAGTCCCCGATGCAGCGTCTCCAGAAGGAACACGCTTCACGAGCTGATGTCTCAGAGCTGCAAAGCGGGGCCTCGGGACTCGATTGTCACTTGAGAGGGAGGGCGTCTTGTCTAAATCCTAGTCTCTGCTCGCTGTCTGCAACAGCAACGACAAAAGGTAATAAGCCAGTGGACGAGACATCCTGCTTCCCGTTTCCGCCATGGAAGCAGTCGGCTCTTTCAGGCTTTGGCTCTGCATCTCAAATCTGCCTTTTTGAGGAACCGATTTGATAGCTTATTTTTAGGGCGCATCCCCAGCAGGGCACTGTCTGCTCACTGACCTGCATCTGGAGGTCTCCCCATCTGTCCTGGGCTGGGGGGTCTACGGCGGCTCCGTTGGCCCGCGGGGCCCCAAGGGCCCGCATCATTTAGGTGTTTTTTAAGTCACGAAATACTGAGGGTTTCTCACGTAAATGTGTTTTCCGACTCCGCCAAAGAGGCCAAGTCACAGGTGACTGCTTATTTCTGCCTGACTTTGGCGGGATTCGTGTGCAAGGAAGACAGGCGCCCGTGTGAAACCGGGTGCCACCTGCTTCCCTCTGAGAGACCGGCCCCTCGGGGCGACGTGTGTGTTCCTTCACCCTGCCGCCACCCCAGCCTCAGCAGAGGTTTTTAGTCCTCGTGAGAAGCCTCTCCTGCGGTGGCCGCTGTGTGGCACTTTTGTTGCTGAGACCGGTCTGTGGCATTCTTGCTCCCACCTCTCTTTGCCCTGAGCTCCAGAGAGGACTAGGGGCCCCACACGGCTCTCCCACTCCCACGTGGAGGGCGCCCCGCTTTTCCCTCAGAGCAGCCAGAACCTGAAATGGTCAAAAAGCAGCCCCTGTGCCTCCTCGTGAGAGTCGTGGTTCCTCGTGCTGCTCCGAGCCCCTGAGGTGCTGTGCCCAGGCAGCCACCGCACGTGGCAGATGGGCACCAGCCGGGTGTCCCGAGCCACGGGACATTCCCCAGATACCAAGACGAGAACAGGACACAGCTTCAAGGAGCTTAGGACCTGTGAGGGGAGCCAGATGGAAGCAAAGAGCATTCATTTCAGATGGTCACATTATAACCCGTGAGACGCTGGAGTTCAGGAAGCCAGGAGGTCCGCTCCCTGCCTCCGACGGGGACGCGTAAAGACACCCTGTGGCGATGGCACGGCCACGGCCGAGGTGTCCCCAGCAGGAGGGCTGAGCGCCTTGGAGGGGAAGTCTCAAAGGGGACCTCCCCAGTCTGAATTTGGGGGAAGGTCCTCGAGGCAGAGAGAGCAGAGTCAGGAATCCGAGTTGTTCGGCACAGGTGGACCGTTGGCTATGGAGGAGGGGCTGGGTTGGTCTGGACGAGGGACGAAGCTGGAGACGGAACAAATGTCGATTTTATCCCCAAAATGGATGCAGGTGTTAGTGTCTTAAGGAGTGAAGTGGTGTCGTCAGACTTGCATTCCAGAAAGTTCTTTGTGGCAGCCAGGAGGATGGTGTACTGGGAGGGGCCCGCCCTGGGGGCTCTCTAGAAGTATGCGGCTGGGTTGACAGGAACGGTGGGGCGGAGGGCCGTGTCTGAGGGCCCAACAGCACTGTGAACAGAGGCCAGGCAGGGAGACCCCCAGGGAGCGGGGAGCCATCGGGAGGGGCAGGGAGGCAGGAGGGGAACCGGAGCAGTCTCGGGGCGGTTGTGTTCCATCCGTTGGGCCCGTCGTGTCCGGAGAGGCCGGGAGGGCAAAACCCGATGACTGGCTTAGCAGCCAAGAGCTCCCCCAGCCCCAGCATCTGTGGTACCATTGGAGGGGCCGTGGGGAGGGAGTGGGGGCACGGGCAGCTCCCTCAGTCCCATCAGCCCAGCGACTTGTTTGTTGCCAAGCGTGACGGGCTTGCAGGGCACCTGCTCGCGGCTCCCCCACCCCCGTGTCTTCCTCCCCTGCCCTCCCCCTCACAGACAAAGGGGACACGTAGCTCACTGTCACCATCACTGTAGCCCTCTGCCGTGACCTTACCCCGTGTCCTACTCAGAGACAGAGACGCCTGTGGCCAGAAACGCGTCTGCGGCTCCCAGAGCCCAAGGACGGTGGGTCCCAGGGCTGTCCGGACCCGAAGGCAACACCAGCCCTTCCCTCCGTGCCCGGCCCCGGGTTCGCAGCATGCAACCCAGCCGTCCCAGCCGGCTGGCGGACTTCCGGCTAGAGAGCAGAGATGCCAAGGGTGTGGACACAGGGGTGGGGCTGATAAGGCGGTTCCAGTGAGTTAGAGCGTGGGGTGAAGGGGTGAGGCCGGCAGGTGCGTGCAGCCGGGGTGGTGAGCGGGGGCTGTCGGCATGGAGCGGTCCAGGCGGGCACGTGGACTCCCGCCCGGGGACCAGGGAAGGCTCTGGAAGGGAGGCTGCAGCCTGCGTCGTGCTCCTTGCCCGGTGCCCCGCAGGCCGAGGAGAATGAAGGGGCTCTGGTTTGTGAGGCCCCGCGGGTGCGGGCCGGAGGGGGACCCCGGGGAGGGCGCCGGCGGGGAGACGTGCCCCCCGCCAGGATGAGGCCCTTGGCGTCCGGAGCCTGAGCGCGAACAGAGAGGGGCTCCCGGCTTTGCGTTGCAGCATGCGGCGTGTGGTGAAGCGAACACCGTGAGCCTCCCGGTGGCAATGGGGACGGACAGGCCTCTGTCTGAAGATGTGCAGACGCTGAGAGAGACAGTGAGTGGACAGGCCCTCCAGGTAACAGCGCGCAGAGCTGAGCTGGGGTGCGCCCGCGCTAGTTTGTTTAAGAAACACTTGCAGGAGGTGACGGGATCCAGGCCAGCGCCTTCGGTGTGAGCCCAGCCAGAGGCTCCGTGTCGGGAAGCTCAGAGACAGTCGCTGCTCCATACGTCCTAACGACCAAAGTACTGGGCGGAATCTTTGAGAGTTTTGATTATTTGCCTCGTTTATGTTAACAGTAATGATCTCAGCCCTTAACTGTCCTTCAGATGTCAACCTGGGCGAAAATCAGACCTTTGGCAGTGGTGTCTCTCCACGCTCTTCCCTCTGCACCGTCCCACGTGCTGTGGCGCCGGGGCGTCCCCTGCCACGGCCCCAGGACACTGGGCAGAGAGCCTCATTCTCCTCCCCTTCGCACTGCCTCTCGGGGCCCGCTCAGGAGCCAGGGACGCCTGCAGGCCAGGATCGTTGTCAGGACCACCTCACGCCACGCCTGTGCTCAGGTGGTTTGTTTCCACGGTGGTAGAAATACGTGTTCAGATCACCACACCACCGATCCAGAGACAGACGTTTCTTACCGAACCGGGAAGATGTACCGTGTGGGCTCCGAAGAGGGTCATGTGCCAAGTCCCTGCCTGCGTGAGGAGCCTGTCTGTCGCCTGCTGAGTTTCTCTGAACGTGCCTACCTGTCTTCACTTCCTGGGACCCAGCACAGTCCTGCCTGGATCGGGGCGCGTGGGCCTCGCTGACTCTGCAACTTGAACCCCCGGGGGCCAGCTCCACAAGTCCTGGTGACACCCAGCACTACGATGCCGAAGCCTGAAAGGTCACGCGGGCCAGACCGTGTTGTGCACCAGATAGAGGTGGATGCAGCGTCGTCAGTGCTTGGAACCCACTGAAGCAGAGAGGGTGCTAGTAAGATTCCACTCCCCACCTGCTCGGATGGGGTCAGGCGTTAGCAAGAGCACGGGACCTCCGCCGACCAGGCTGCACGGGGCTGCCGAGCCCTCGAAGCGTGGCCACCTGCGCCGAGCTGTTGTGCTGTCAGCCGACAGCACAGGAGCTCCCAGGCTCGGTATGAAGAAAAGAAGGCAAAAACCGCTCATTCGTAATTTTCCGTTGTTGCCACGATAATAGCATTTGGGCTATGTCGGGCCGAATAAAAAATACTTTTAAAATTAATTTCATCTATTGCCCTTTACTTTTTTAATGTGGCTACTAGAAAACTTGGAGTTCCATACTTGGAACACGTTATTTTTCCATTGGGCAGCACTGGTCCAGACTCCTTTTTTCATAGAGCTGCCCAAAGAGGGCGACCCCACTGGCCAAGTCCATGCCGCTTCCTGCCCAGCCAGCCCCTAGCCTTCGCTGAAGATCAAACCCTGAAAATACGGAGGAGAAACGCAGAACACTCCTAGTAAATGTAATCCAGGTAGATTCCATAATTTCCTTACAATTAATATTCTTAGCAATGAACAAAGTGAAGAAAAAAATTACATTTTTCTCTGTACTGGCTCTGGGGGTGTTAATTTTCCTGCTTCATTTTTTTTTTTTTTTTTTTAACCAGGACAGGGTCATTTTTTAAACTACTGTTTTGGTTTTATGGCTCACAGTATGCTAAAGCCGTGAGAGCTTGCCCATCACTTGCAGACTCAGAGAAAATCAGATCAGTGTCCCTCCTACCAGGACGTTGCCCAAGAATTTGTGACCACATTCGTTTTTAAGTCGCGTAGACCATGCGGAGTTGGAAAGGAAATTGTCCGAAAGGAAATTGTGCATTAAATAGTTTGGCTTTGGAGGCTTTTGGGTTTGTTCAGTTTTCTGTTTGGGAGGGGGTTTTTTTTTGTTGTTGTTGTTTTTTTTTTGGTACACCCTTTGGTCCAGGGAGAGAATGACCTGTGTCCAGAATGTAATGGAGGTGTACGTTATGGTCCTATTTATGATTTAAGGTGACTCTAAGGGATCAAGTATTTGTTCAAGAATGCAAACCAAAAGAGCATTCTAATGTTGAGTGAAAAACTGCCTCTTAGAGTTGACCCTAGTATTTGTGGGCCCGCCAGTCCCAAGAACACCTTCCACATGGTGGACGCACCCCCCTTTCCCTAGCACAGGGCACAGCTCCTTCCCAGGGGAGCACCTTCCACATAACGTGAAGGGATCGCTGTCAAATCACCTACCCACTTAGTGCTGAGTTTCCTAGAGAACCCTTGTATCCTGACTCTTGAAATGAGATGAAATAAGTTTTTCTATGTATTCGACAGTTCTACAAAAATTATTTGCCTGCTCCTGCCTCTTAGATTTCTATGATCACGTTCCTGGGTCAGAAGACTGGATGCCATTAAAGTACCACTTCTCCCCAAATTAACGTGATCTCAGTCAGACTCCCAGCACACTTTTTTTTTTTTAATGACACGCGGATTCCAAAATTCATATGGAAACACAGAGGACCCAGAATAGCCAAAACAACTTTGAAAAAGAATAAAACTGGAAGATTAATACCACCCAATTTGAAGACTTCTTATCGATTTCAGCAGTTCAGTGGAATCCACCCCTCCCCCAATCTCAAACTATCTAGATGAATATATTTATAGTGCAGGCTCTTAGGTATAATATTTGATACGATAGACTCTTACGAATTTGAAAAATGTTGGAGTCATATTCCTGAAACTCTCAAAAACTCTGCTGTTAAAGCAAGGAGAAGATACCTAGATGCAGGAAAGTTATGTGCACAATTTGGAGAGCAAATAACAGCTAAAAATTAAAATTTGAATATTTTCAGTGCACTTCTAATTTTGTTTTTGGCTAATTTTATTTTTTGCAAAATAAGTCCACACTTACTTAAAACGATTTGAATGTCAGCCAGAACGGGAGGCATAGGAGGTGGATGGCAGAACTGTACCAGGGGAGGGGAGGAAATCCTCCGGGAGGGGGGGCGGTGGTTGGTTGGAATTTTCTAGAGAAATTCAAATTCTATGTTGACCTGTGAGAACCATGATTTGTTTTGTTTTTGAGAAACTTGTATAACCCTACATAGAACATCCGAAGAAAAATAGTAAATTGCGTGTTTATGACATTTCTACCAGAGATGTTTAAAATGTTTACAATTCTCATTGTTAACAGTCAGTTGGGAGAAAAGCAGTGTCAACCATGGAAATAAAGAAGGTGTAGACAGACGAAAGGTGGGAAGCGAAGGTACAACAACACGTAGAGTGTGTTTAAGGCTCGTGTCCTCGGGCGAAGCCCTGACAAACTGACGTTGGACATGAAGTATTTTCCTGCTTCCCCCTGTCGTTCCAGCTTGTGGTGGGAAGGACCGAGGGGGTCCCTCGAGAAGCCCTGACTGGTTGTGTCCTCAGTGGCGTAGTAAAAACGCGCACCTGTCATGTGTCCGCGAGGCCTGCTCTTCTGCTACCACTTAACTGTATGAACTTGGCCTTTCAGACCTGCGGACGCACAGCCGACAGAGGCCCGGCCTCCAGCCCTTCCTTCCCCCCACCCCCACCCCACCCCGCCATCCCCTCTGCTCGTGCTCCCTCCTCCTTCCCTGCCTGCCGTGCTTCTGGTCTTTTCCCTCTCGTGGTTCGTGAAAATCACACTCTGCCCTACCCGCCAGGCTAAGATGCCCACGCAGAAAGGCCCAGACGGGCCCAGCACCCTTGCCGACCCTTCGGGTGCTCGGGGCTCATGTTTGTTCTCTCCGCTTGCCTGCACTGGTTCCAGTTCCGAGGTTTTCACTGTTGGCTTTTTCTGTCGAAAAGTTGCTTCTCTGGAATGAAGGCCTGTGTCGGCAGTGATCAAATATTTCCAGGACGTCAAAGTGTTGGTTTCGTTTGGCCTCGCTTAGGCTTTATTTTACAGCTGCACGTGGAAGGGACACAAAATCCAGGGTAGAATTTTCCCTCTTGAGCGTCTTGTGGGCCAAAAGCAAACGTGCGTCGGCACCGTGACTGACAGTCCTCGGGGCGCATGCCCTCACGGCCTCCTGACGCGGGCGGCTCTCCAGAAACCATCTCTGGCTAGTTTTCAGGGGGGAAACTCCAAATCCCCACCTTTACCATCACCGAGTGTTAATTTCCAAGTAACATTTCTAGAAATATTCCTAACATGTCGCACAACGTTCCTTCCGAACCCTGACGTTGCCGTTTCCGTAGATACATTTGCAGAAAATCTCCCCAGGAAATGTTAGCTCTGCAAAAGATGGGAACTTTTCACGTATGACTTTTCTGCAGGCTCTGGAATTGTTCTTAAAAGCCAGGAAAAGGGGGCGCCTGGGTGGCGCAGTCGGTTAAGCGACCGACTTCAGCCAGGTCACGATCTCGCGGTCCGTGAGTTCGAGCCCTGCGTCGGGCTCTGGGCTGATGGCTCAGAGCCTGGAGCCTGTTTCCGATTCTGTGTCTCCCTCTCTCTCTGCCCCTCCCCCGTTCATGCTCTATCTCTCTCTGTCCCAAAAATAAATAAAAAACGTTGAAAAAAAAATTAAAAAAAAAAAAAAAGCCAGGAAAAGTCTGCTTTCTGTCTGCTGAGGGTACACATCCAGGAACTGTGAGAGGCTGTGGTTATGTCCTTCCTGTCAGACGACTGACTTCCCTCGAATTTTCTCCGATAAGGCGTTAGTTCTCTACCGCAAAGAGAATGTGTTCTCTTTAAACTCTGTCCTCTTTTTGATGGAGACGCGAAGCAGAAAGGCTTGGTTCTGGTTAAAGTGTGCAACTAATTGGCAGTCTTCTGGTGGATATATGGCGTTGAGATGACTTAGATGGCTCGTTTCGTTTCAGAAGTACTGGCATTAATGCGGTAGCTCTGCCTCAAAACTGAGTGATTTGTGGAATTGTTATTCATGGAAATGTGGGCGCTTTTGGTGCAAACTGCCCAGATCAGGCCCCCCACCCCGCTTTCTTTGCAGATTCACGATGCTGTAAAGCCTCGTGGAAAAACAGGAATCTTTTTTTTTAAATGTTTAAGTGAAGGGGCGCCTGGGGGGCTCAGTCAGTTAAGCCTCCGACTTTGGCTCAGGTCATAATCTCATGGTTCATGGGTTCGAGCCCCGCGTCGGGCTCTGGGCTGACAGCTCGGAGCCGGGAGCCTGCTTCGGATTCTGTGTCTCCCTCTCTCTCTGCTCCTCCCCCGCTCATGCTCTGTCTCTCTCTTTCAAAAATAAATAAGCGTTAAAAGAAATAAATAAATACGATTAAGTAAAACCTAAAAACTGAACTTGAGGACGAGGACGAGGTGGAGAAGGGGGTCTTTTATTTCTGATTCTTAATATTGGGAATTTTTACGTGAATAATTAAAATACTGTTTTTCTAAGTCCTAGAGGGCTTGTCCCCACAAGCGACCCATTTAGCACCTCTTCCCTTGAAGACCTTTTTCCAAATTTGACAGAAGTTTGAGACCTTTGCTCGACTCCAAATCCAGCGTTAATGTGTTTCCCTTCCATTCGTTTTATCCACCTCCAAAGGAAATTTCCACTTTCTGAATGGCTTCGGTAGCGGGCATCGGCATAAAAATGCCTTTCGTCCTCTTTGATGAAGTAGGAGGGTTTTGATAGCGATGAGATTTGCTGAAACCAGTGGATTTGCAAGACAGGGGTGTGGAGTGCTGGGTGCAGAGCCACACTTTTTAGACCGGATTGCCAGCCCATCACCCTGGTGGTTAGGTCGTCTCCAACGGCCCCGGCCGTGGGGGGTGAGGCCCGCGCCGCAGAGTTCTCAGGGCAGCCCTGGAGCGTGCGTGCTGGGCTCCCGGCCCACGGCTGCCCTCTGACCCCTGCGTGGCCTCGTTGGTCGCCAACGTCCCTGCATTTTTGATTCCAGGCCGAGAAAGATCTGAAGAAGGACCGGCCCCTCGTGCGCCGCAAGTCTGAGCTGCCTCAGGACCTCCACACCAAGAACGCCTTGGAGGCTCACTGCAGAGCTGACCAGCTGGTCTCCCAGGACGGGCGCTAGTCCCCCCGAGGACCGCGTCGGGCTGGGGACACCTGCTCTCTCCTGGAGTCTGTAGAAAATACATCCCTTGTGTGCCATACAAATCAGTTACACTCAGAGTCCGAGCTTTTCTTCCACCCCGTTCTGTAGGCAGCGACACACTCTGCCTCAGCTCGAGATTAGGAGTTCAAACAATGGTGGCTTCCCCGATGTGTCCGTGGAGCCCGAGGGCCACCAGCCGCGTCCCCGGCGCGTCGTCTCGGCCCCCGCACGGCCCCCGTAAGACGGCTTCCCCAAATCAGAGCTAAGGAGAGCACCCTAGACATCTTCACGTTCGGCCCAGACGGAATCCGCGATCGTTTACCGTAAGTGGTTCTGTGGTCGTGTCGATGTGCTTCAGATCAGAGGAACACTTGAAACAGAAACGCATCGCGTATTCTTGAAGACTCTACAACCTCTTCGATTGTTTCCACGTGACTGTTGCGCCAGTAGTCAGTCGTTTGCTCTCCTTGCCCTCTCTCTTTTTTTCCCTTTTCATCTCGTTGAAGTGGTCCTTTGCTGTCGTCATTCTAACACAACTTACTGGGGAAAGTGACATGACAATCCTCGGCCACTGTGTTTTCCTGAGGTGTTTCTTTACTTTGCCTGATGACCCGTGTGCCGTGTTACTCTCGTGTACAGCTAAAGCCATACTTCCAAGCCCGCGGCCCAGCACCAGGGACTCCACGAGTGAGCTCGTAGGAGAAACGTGTTTTTAGAAAACGCCTTTCTCCATCCACCTTGACCGGAATTGGAATTTTAAAACGATGTGTCCCCTTTTTTCTTTTTTCTTTGCATTTTTTTTGTCTCTACTGACACACGGTTGCCCTTTAACGAGGCTCTTGAATGAATAAAATTCTCATCTCTAAGAATTGATATGATACATTTTGTAGAAAGTTAGAACGAGACCCTCTCGAGCTCGGCCAGTCCGGCCCCCGCCTCTGGGCATAAAGTAACAAAAATGCCACCCAACGCCACCGTCCGTGTCGGGCGCGGGCCCGAGGGCTCGGACAGGCAGCCGCCAGGGCTGCGGTGAGTCCCTCCCAGCCGACCAGAGCACGCGGTATAAACACCTCATCAGGAAAAGACACTGTCTGAGTTTCCATGGGTCTTCAAATGCTGCTATAGATCCACAGATTTCCCTGCATGTTCTGAGCTTTCTGTTTGAATGGAACCGCACGAGGAGAAAAACCCTTCACCCGGGGTGCGTCTACTCCGTATTTCTCTCAGGGTGGCCAGTATTTTGACTTCCTTATCCTGCTTGAAAGCTATTTGAGATGTGTACTGCTATCCCGAGCAAGTGATTCAGTTTCCTTGGTCTGTGGCATAAGATGATACAAGTCCGTGTTAAATGTCGCTGATGCACAGAAGATAAGATGTGGCTTCTCTCAGGCTGTCTGTTCCGACTCGAGGTCGTGGGTGTCCGCTGACACGCTGTGGGAAGCGGACATGGGCCCCGGGCAGCTGTGACGCCTGCTGCTCCCGGGGTCGCCTCCGTCCCTCCGTCCGCGACGTCTGTGTCCCCGTGTCCCGGAGGAAGGTTGCAGAGGGGGGTGGCGGGGTGGGCCCCGTGTTCGGAGCAAGGGCTCACTGAAAAAAACTGCCCCAGCTGGAAGCAGGAAGGGCCACCTTGGGAGAAGAAGTGCTTCCTGAGAAACTTGACAAGTACCTATCAATTGTACCATTACGAAATGTATCCTTTAAAAACAAAAAGTTTAGATGCCTTCTCCTTTTGAGGGAAAAAGGGTGCTTTTTATCGTATAAAGCAGCGTCTTCTGTATTTTGATACACCATTGTTTGAACTTCCGTCTTTAGCTGGTAGATCCTCAGATATCCTTGATTTTGGATGTTCAGTATGTGTCGAGAGAGAGGGTCCTGGGAAGGCCCCCCCCTCTGCCCTCGGTGAAAAGCGAAATATCCGTGTCTGGGTGACTGTATAAAGCTCAGCCTGTAAAAACACCTTTTCTGTCGAGCTTTTATCTCTGCTCTTTATTGAAGACAAACATTCACCGAAAAGGGGGGGAAAAAAAAGTTTGAGAGAAACTAATTTTCTTTGACGAGAGTATTATTTCATATTTTGGCCTCTTAAAGTTTTCCTAGTTAGTACTCAGATTCCCTGTGCTAATTGTTCGACTTATATAAGATACACCATTTATTATATTATATAGATACACCGTTTATCCTGCACCAAACTGATTTCAAAAGTACGACATTGAGAACAAACCGGTGACTGTTTTTCTTCATAAAGTCCTGCATTCGGCATCTTCACTGTTTCCAGACTGTATCTGTACATCAGAAATGTCACTATTCCGAGTGTCTTTTTAGTGTGGCTTTAGTATGGCTTCCTTTTAATATTGTACATACATTGTATCTTTGTTTTATGGTAATAAGTAATAAAAATGTAGACTTCATATTTTGTACAAAATGTCCTATGTACAGAATAAAAAAAAGTTCATAGAAACAGCAAAAATAGGTAAGTGGCACAATTATTTTTCTTTAGAAGATATCTGTAACTTTACGCTTTAGTGAAATGTTAAGTACCTACATATTTTTTAACATTTTGTAATCCAGAACTTTTTGTTTCGACATTGTTTATGAAGAGGAAACTTCATACACTCGCCATTTAATATGCTCTTTTATCTAATTTTAAAAAACTCTAAAAATGGTGTATTATATGGACTAAATAAAGAACATGTGAATTTTACTGCTCATCATGAAACTAAATTTAGCCACGGTGTCGGGCCAGCCGGTCCTGGTCACTATCGAGTTTCCCTCCGGCCTAGGCAGCCATGCCTGGGACACCGGCCAGGGGATGGGCAGTGTGGACGGAGTCCCTCACTCCAGCCGGGCGTGTGCTGGGCCCTCCTGGGCTCGTCCCGTGGGCTCATCCTTCACTTCCCTAGGGGAGAAAGCAACGGTTGCCTTCCTCCACCAGCTCTCCTCTCCTCTCCTGAGTAGGCACGTGTGAGTCAGAACACGGTTTCTAGAAATGGAATCATTTGAGCCCGAATCGTGATGTTTAAAAGGATTCTGGAAAAAAGAAATTAATGTCTTGCAAACAGAATCGCTGAGAATCTGAATTTGGGGTCCCCCCCCTCTTCTTCACGGGGATCTTCACCGATCCCGCCAATGCTGTTGATGAAAAGTCAACCAAAGACGCAGAGTCGAGTCACTTCCTCAAGTCGTTGCCACGAACCCCCCATGCCCTTGGCTGTGCTTGGTGACATTCCAGCCGGCGGGTGGGGCTCACTAGTTCCCTCTTTCTGACCCAAGTCTTGTGACACCCTCACCAGTAAAAGCCCAGGAGGTGTCGCCCTGGGCCCGGGGGTGTATTGGAGGGGCCCAGCCCCCTGCGGCGCATGGTCCTTGCACATGGTAACTCCGTGGGGAAGTTTGGGGAACCGCGCGTACCCCACTTCACCCCGGGCGGGTACGCTGGTCAGAGGACACCTTAAACGTGGCGCAGCAAGGAGCTCGCTGGGCCCTGGGACCAGGTGGTGGACCGGGGGAAGCCAAGGGTAGCACCCTGGGGCGCAGGAGCCCCTGGGAGAACCCAGTAAATGGATGCTTGCCCTGGTCCGAGTCCAGCTTCATGCCACCCTTCTCGCACGCCAGCAGGGGCCCCGGCTGTGTCTCCTTCCCCGAGAACCAGAACCTTCGTGCTGTCGGGGGCTGCCCGACGTCGTGTTCCTTTACTTAACTTCTCATGACCCGGCAAAGTATCTGCCCGTGTTCATCCTCGCTGACCGGTGAGGACACGGGCTCGCAGAGGTCAGGTCACCTGCCCAAGGTCACATGAGTACTCAGTGGAGCTAGGTTCCAGCCCACGCAGTGTGGCCCCGGGGTCCGTCGCCTCCCCTGAGGAACGCCTGAGTCCTACAGGTGAACACAAGAGGGCCACTGCCTGACTGTGACTTCACCTTCTGGAACTGGAGGGACCCGGAAACCATCCAGCCCGATGGCCCCTTCACATACACACTCCAGAGGCCACTGTTTTTACATAGATCTAAAGTTTGCAATATTTGAACTACTTAAAACTCAAACGTGTCATACCAACTGTCAGCCCTTCGGGGTCCCTCCCCCCAACTCATTAGCTTCTGTCCTCATCAACTTTATGATGTTACTATATGAACCCGTAAATCTATCAAAACATCAGCTCTTTAATATTTGTGGTTTTACGTAAGATTTCATTGGGGGGGGTGGAGAATGGATTCCACCATCAAAAAGTTTGAAATCCACTAAGATTAACTCTTTTAGGGAAGGAAATCGAAGGGGGAGAGTTGCTCTCCAGACTGTTCACAGCTGAGCGTTTCCCCACTCTGGCTCACTCTTGGGTCTTTCTGCTTTTTACAGAAGTTTTCTGTAAATTCCACAGCACTTTTCAGTAGTGGAGGAAAGAATTTTTTTTTTTTTTTTTTTTTTTTGAGAGTGTGTGTAAGCAGGGGAGGGGCAGAGAGAGGAAGAGAAAGAGTCCTACGCTCAGCACGGAGCCCGATGCTGGGCTTGATCTCATGACTGTGAGTGAGATCATGATCTGAGCCAAAATCAGGGGTCGGACGCTTAACCAACTGAGCCACCCAGGCGCCCGTCTTCTGATCACCTCCAGTTCGGGGTACACGTGGCTTAGTTTACCCCTGTGGGGCTTTTAGAGACAGTTCCATAAATACAAGCTGGAGCCGAACTCAGCTTTGTGGTTTATTTTACAGGACGACGTATATAACTGATGCCTAATCGATCACACCAGGTTTCTGACCCATCTGTCTTTCTCCACTTTTATTGACATGTAATTGACATGCAGCCCAGTGTCCGTTCCAGGTGCACCAACGACCTGACTTACATACGGTGCTGCGAAATGAAGTTGCTCGTGAATGCCGGCCTCCTCGTTTAGTTACCCCAAAGAAAATCTCCTGGATTCCTGAACTAAGAACAGCCAATAAGAAACACTTTGTGAACACTCAGCGGTGCGGGAGGAGGAACAGCCGCGGGGTGGTGGGCGTCTCAGCTGCGGGAAGCCCCCCACCGGCCCCGGGAATCAGACACGTACAGGGAATCGCTTTTCCCCAGCGGGTCTGTGTCCCAGCGGCGTCTAATAGAGGCACTCGGGCTCTGCCTGTCTCACGCGCACGCACACCCCAGCGTGCTCCCGCCAGCTCTGTGCAGAATCAGGATATGAATTCGAGCGGGCATTGGGAATACACGGTAACGCTGAGAGGTCAGCCTAAGGTTACCTGTCCGTCTCCGGCAGGTGCCGTCACCTTGGCAGACTCTTCACCTCTGCCTCCAAAACGCATCTTCTAGAAATCTGCCTCAAACTCGTTGTAAATCTCAGGGCCCCTTGTAGCCGGTGATGGCAAGGGGTTAGTCCCCTGCCCCTTTCCTTGGGGTTTCCTCCTGGAGCCCCAGGTTCCACTCCTAACACCAGGTAGATGAGCAGAGCATTGAGGAAGCTGTTCAGCACCCACGTAATGAGGCCGTGTTGAGACCTTGCTGAAAATGGGTTCCCTGATGGGTAAGTCAGCCCAGAGTGAGCGCACTGCCTGAGGCTGGAGACCAGAGCGGGGCCATCTCCTGAAAAGAGTGTGGGGCAGCGCTGAGCCCTCACGATCCAGGCCGACCCCCAAGGCCACGTTCGCCGGCTGCTCTTGAGCTGAAAAGGGAGCGATGTGGACAATAAGCCTTACTACTCGCTGAGTCGTTTTCTTTCGTTCGATGTTGCCAGAATGCAGAGGACCGTGTGCTGGCAGTTTCCTCTAGGAACGCCGGAGGCTGCTGCTTCCGGGGCTGTATCCTCGTGAGTTTCCAGAAGACCAGGGCAAGAAGCCCGCCACGTGGCCTGACGCCACGAGAAGAGCGTGGGAGCCGGCGGGTGTCAACCTGCCCGGCGGGCTGAGGAACTTTGGGGGGAAGGGCCGCGGTCACACTGGGGACAGTGGGGGACACAGGTTAAAATCCGCAACAGGCAAAGCTGCGTAGGGCGGGGCCGTAGTGGGAGAGGCCAGGCTCAGAGCTCGGGTGTCCTTCCCCCGAGGTCGCTCCCCGCAGCGGCACCGCCTACGTGGTGCGAACCAGGGAGCCTCGATATCCAGACTGTTGGTTTTTTGTTTTTTTTTCCTTAGGTCTACGCGTTTTGAGAGAAGAGAGAGAGCATGAGCGGGGGAGGGGCAGAGAGAGAGGGAGGCACAGAATCAGAAACAGGCTCCGGGCTCCGAGCCATCAGCCCAGAGCCCGACGCGGGGCTCGAACTCACGGACCGCGAGATCGTGACCTGGCTGAGGTCGGACGCTCCACCGACTGCGCCACCCAGGCGCCCCAGCAGTTCCTTTTATAATTCCGCACTCGAAAACAGTTGGCAATACTGTGCCCCCCCCCCCCCACCAGGTAGTTTTAGTAATATGACAATACTGATCGGCCTCCTGACCCATGAAATCCAGAATTCTAGGAATCCTGGTCTACGTCAAAGCCCTTGTTTTACAGGAAATAAAGTGGACTCGGAGAAAGGAAAGCCTTTGACTGGAGAGTGCTGGAACGCAGCGGGCAGGACGTATTCAAGGGTTTCTGAGTTGTGTATTTATGCAGTCGGTTATGCTGCCTGTCACTGCATCGTTTCCAGCCTGTGGATTTTTTTTCCCAATGTCCCTAGGAAACGCATATTCAAAAGACTTGTTTGAGATAGGTGGTGAGCCTCTTTGGGAATCGTTTATACTTTGTGAAGTAAAAGTTTAGGTACTTCCTGATTAGAAAATTTTTCCCGTTTGGGGGCGCCTGGGTGGCTCAGCCGGTTAAGCGGCCGACTTCGGCTCAGGTCATGATCTCGAGGTCCGTGAGTTCGAGCCCCGCCTCGGGCTCTGCGCCCACGGCTGGAAGCCTGGAGTCTGCTTGGGATTCTGTGTCTCCCTCTCTCTCCACCCCTCCCCTGCTCGCTCTCTCTCTCTCTCTCTCTCTGTCAATAATAAATAAACACTAAAAAGAAGAAAAGAATTCACTACAGGGGGTTGATAAGATCAGAGGTGGCGTGTGACACTTGAGTCCCCCAGGTGGGATGTGAGCTGGGGGCGGGGGGTCACGCGCGGAACGACCAGCGGCTCCGAGGCGCAGAACCCCCCCCCCCCCACCGCCGCCGGGACCCGGGCGTCTGGACACGCGCGCGGAGCGTTGCCAAGACCCGGCGAGGCCCCGAGCGCCGTACGCGCCGAGGGGCCAGGGGGCTGGGCCGCAGCAGCGACGGGAGAGACGCGGTGGCCAGGCAAGAACACCGAGGGTTCCTGGTCCTGAAGACGTGGCCTGCCGGGCACCGTGCGCGGCACTGACGCGTGTTATCGCCTCCGTGGATCTTCGCACCGAGGCTGGGGGGCAGCCGGCGGCTGGAAACTCGGAGGCACCGGTGGCTCGCCGGGCTCGTGCGTGCACCTGTCGTCAGCGAGTGGCAAAGCTACGGAAGCCTAACCCGGAGCTGTAGGAGTCCGAACACGGCTGTCGCCTGTCGCCCACCTACCGCGACCTGGTTCTTCCTGGGACGCGGGTAAGAATCCAGGAAAGAGAAGCAATTTCCAATGTGGGCGGCAGGCAGCTAGAAGCCGGTGGTCCCTTCAACATAATGCGTCGGGCTCAGTCACTCGACAGACAGTTTCTTTTCTCGAGCAAGGTAGGCCATCCTCCGCACCCCGCCACCTCGCAGAAGAGACCGGGATTGAAGAGCTCACCGAATGCGGTA